ATGGATACTTTGTGCAGCAAACATTCAAATTCATAAAAATAAAGCCATCATCATGCTCTCAAAAGCAACAAATTGCGGCCATCAACAAAAATTCCTTGCTTTTTAATTTTTTTTCTTTGTGCATTTTGAACAAAAATTCCTTACTTTTTTTAATTAAGTTTATATGTCCTGTTTGAGTGGCTTGACTTGGATTATGATAAAATCAGATGAACATTCCGTGCCCAACAGAAAATACTAAATTCATTAGCTTAGTGACTTAGTGACCATTACATCTGTTGGAGTCTAACATCATCAGTGCTATGGTAGAGAGCAGCAAATTAGTTCCACTTGTACTTGTAGGCAATGTTTATTAAACCATAACAAAAAGGGCTTTATTAGTTTTAAGTTGAGCATGTTAAGCTTCAGTAGATACTGTTAGAAATTTTTGTAGTCCTGTTAACTTTTTAATTATTTCTATAAAGGAAAATTAAGACAGAAGATTGATGAACTTGCATTTTACAGTTACTCGTTTTAAATACTTAGTTTTCGTACAAGAAAGCAAATATTAAAGGACTTTTGTGGGTAATCATTTTATTTCAAAGGAAACGTTTTGCTAATTATGGCAATTCTTGGTTTACTTATTTTAACTTTAAAAATATTTATTCAAATTGTCTTTCTATTCTTGATTAATAGAAATCAATGATTAACAACTGATTATTTTTTATGGGTTTAATAAACATCTATAAATAATCTGTGAATATTTTGTGTTTTCCGAGAATCTAATATAACTAAATTAGAGGTTTATGTTTGCTTTGCATATTTGATATAACTAGTACCAATTCATTATAGAAAAACAGCATTAATGTGTTTTTGTTTTTGGTTTTAAATATTCAGTATAACTAATAAAGATCTACCATTACCAATATGCTATTTCGTATATTCTTTAGATTTAGATGTAGTATATATAAAAAAATCGTGTACAGTTATACCTTCAACAACGAAATGTGTCCTTTTCATATTTGCTATAACAATTACCGATTTAATGAAATTACATTACCGGTAAGTATTGTTTCAGCATATTTGGTAAGAATGGTTGGTTGGTTGTTTGCAGTGGCAGGCCATTAGTCGTTTTGCTACCACATTCCTTGCAAGAACACGTCATATAGAAGAGTAGTGACTAAATCCATTTCGTCAAATATAGATAATTTAATAGGTCTTTCATCTTCACCGATGAACTGTCTGATAAACTGTCAAAGAAGTATCTTCCTAAAACCTATTTCTTCTGGACGCCAAAGCCGGGCATTAACAGAGAAAATATATTATGGTTTTTTTTTTCTGTGGAGTTACACAACTTCTACAGTGTGGATTATAGGGAATGCACAGTTTCTGTGAGTGTGTTCCTATATATCAATGATCAGAGAGAACTGCAGTAAGCTTTGCAGTGTTCACGCTGTCTCTTTTGATGAGTTCCGAGGAACTAATTTTATTATGGGTGCGTCATGTGAACCTGAAAGTTTCACATGCACTAAGTGCTTTCCATCTGTTATTAACAAGTTAAAGAAAGTACTTCTCTTAAAGGTGTCGAGGGTAATATAAACCGGTACCGTCAGGGACATCTCCAAGGAAGCATCAGTGCAGGCAAAATTGTTAGCTTTTTTAGCTTTTTCCTTTGAATGAGTTTCCTATATTCAGGAACCCAGATAACCGATTAATCAGTTAACCGATTTAGCATGGATTTAGTTGGAATATTTATCAATTAGAATACTTAAGGTATGAACTCGTCTTTCATTTAATGCATACGTAAGACAGCACATCAATTATTATCAACTGAGAGCTAATTTCGAAAAGGCTTCAAGAATATAGAACCAACAATCGACTAAATTGTCTTGCAGAGAACCGGATTTTCATTATAGAATATAGATTGAGATCGGACTTTTTAAGCGTTTAAAAGTATATAGAATACATAAGCTACTAATACTACTACTACGGCTTTTATTCAAGATCTGCTAAACACACAATATGAATCATTTTCGACTGAGAGAAAATATTAAAATAGTTTAAAGACATAATTATTGAAAGCAATCTAACAATATGTTTTCTATTTAGCACATGCGAAGGTAAGAATTTCATTACCTTAATTATTTTCTAGCTTATTGCTAGAATTAGCAATATACTACTTCAGAATATCCACAAATAAACTTATAAATTAATTTAACATTTTATCATTTCAATGAATGCAATGAATGCAATGAGTGCAATGAGTGCAAATAAGGGACATATTGTAATAGAACTAAAATTACCACATCTAGCTATAAATTCTGAACTCCTGACCCAACAGAAATAACCTAAAAGAATAAACGAGTGACAATAACGTAATAAAGTAATATTAAAAAGTTGTTTTCGGGTACAACAGTGTCTAGAGCTTGCAAATAAATATTTTGCTGAATTAATTGTTTTAGTTCCGTCAAAATGACAACTATATTATAGTGCACTCGATATGCCCAGAAGCTTACTGGATAGAGTTCATCCATTCTATTGAAGGGCACCATGAAAAAATAAAGAATACTCTATTGGGAAAGGCTATCAAGACTATTACAATCTAAAATGCTCTTAGGGACTTACAACCTAAAACGCTTCAAAGATTGCATAGAACAATCAAAAAATAACCTAAGAATTATTACGGGATTATTGACCGGTCACTGTAGATTGAATAATTAGAAGAGAAAGAAAGTGCATATCATGTGCTTGAGGAGTGCCCGGCACTAATGCATAAACGGAAGAAACATATAAGAGGGTATTTCATGGATCAGAAGGATACAAGTCTAGGAAATATGGGCTACATACTGTTTTTCATTAAAGAAATCGAACTTGGAAAAACACTATGTTCCAACTAAGGGACACAATTTTTCAGTCTATTTTCTCAAAAATAAAAATAATAAGGTACATGAAGATATTAATATGAAGATATTATAATGGATGGGAACATGCAAATTTTACTATAGGTACGTACAATTTGTTATTGTTGATGTGTGACATGCTTTGTGACAGTAGTACTTTTTTCTTCTTCAAAAAGTGATCCCAACTTTTCGCAATTTTTTCTTCCGAATCAATCAATAATGTCGTTTTTTACTTGCAAGTGATTGCACTTAATTTTTCAATAAAAAAAAAATCAGTAAATAAAATATATAGCACTCATTCCAATGGAGAGTGGAGAGCCAATGCCTTACTACCTGATATTTGTATTTTTGTTAGCTGTATACGATTTTTACTGGTTGATGTGCACTCAGCTAATTTCTGAACTCTTTTCGAAGTGTGTTAATATATCCAACTTTTTTCGCTTTTATAAATCAAATTATCGTAAATAACGAAACAAAGTTTCAGTAAAATCACTCAATGTTCAAAAAGTGATTGGCTGTCAAACACATTTGTACAATTTATTTTTACAAATTGTTGACAAATTGTTTAATAGCACTGATAACTGCTGTCAATTTAATTTAAAATTAAAAACAAAAATGAATTCAATAATAAATAACGATAATGGAACAGTGTAATGTCACCATTTCAATTGTTACGAACTCAACTGCCATCAATTGTGAACTCGAAGCTTTGCAAAAAACTGAGTTAATTACTTAATTAATAATGAAATTTTTTCATATTTATTTTTCAATAAATTTTTTAATAATAGATCAATGTACTCATCAACAACGTGTTGTAATACGCAAATACATAAAACTAAACTTATATCTTATAAATTATTAGCTTATTATTACCGTATTACCATATTATATAGTCACACTAAATTTTCAAATTAATTAATAAGTTAATTAATTTAATAATTAAATTAAGGTAGTTTTTGGCCCACTCCTGATCTTTGGCTTTCTTCAGAGCATCCATACTGACACTGGCTTATTTTTTAGTTTTCTCATTGCTCTCTTAAATTATGCGGGTGTAATAGCCCATCGGGTTTCCATCTGGCGCATTCGAAAGCCATTATGTGGGCGAAATGAACCATTCTTGGTTTACACGAGATTTATTAGATGGTGCAAAGTCTTATTGGAGTGCCCATGCTCTATGACCAAAATGTTTGTGTGCCCACGGCTCTGAAGCAACTTTCAAACATTTCTCCAACAATAAATCGCATTGACTTTAACAGCAGGGTCGATGAAAACGATTAGAGAGCTTCCATCAGAGATCACAGCTGCCCATAACTTTACTTGAGATGGAAAATTACTTCGGCCATTCGTAGTCTTAAATTTTCGGCAGTGCGTTTAATTAAGTAAACACGATCATTTTGAGAGTTTATAAACTGCTTAATAGGGAAATTCTTCTCATCAGAGAACACAATGTTTGGAAAGGTGTTACGTTCGTGTAAGCAAAACAACGCCTTTGATCTTTCGAGTTTAACTTTTTGTTCTTTTGCTGCAAGATCTTGCGCCTTCTGGAACTTGTAAAGCTTAACCGTCACCTTGAGCTCATTTTTGAGTATAAGTTGGATACTTCTCTGGAATATTTTGAGTTCTTTGACCATTTGATTACCACTACGACGTGGATTTCGTTTATATTGTCATTTTTTTTCTTATACAAAAGCGTTTGGCGTTTTTTTTCTTATACAAAATATCAGTTTGACAGATATGCGTGGTGGTACTTCAATCACCTAACCCTGTATATCAAAATATCTATTGCTGCAAATGGAATTTCTTATAATTAAAATTAAGAAAAAAAAACTTCAATACAATAATATTCAAATTCAATACAATAAAAATTAATACATGCATTTTTGAAATTGCATAAAGTATGCATTGAAATTTACTTCTTCCCATTCAATTTAGTAAGTCAATCATTTTGTTTGGAAGAAACTGTCAAAGTCAGTTAATAAAAATATTTTATTTCAAAAATTAATTTTTGACAAACATCGTCAACTCAAAACTTATTACTGAAAGGAGCAGAAATTTTTTCTCTGGACTTGTTATTAGCTTTGAAGGTGTAATTAAGTAAAAAATCTGAAAATGGTTTCTCTAATTATGGCGGAACAGTATGAAATATATCAACGAGGTTTCAATTTGTTTGACAGCGATGATGACGGTGCGTTACAAGGTAAACAGTTATGTAGTGCCATCTCCACAGTGTGTTGCACAACTAACCGTTGTGTTAGTGAACGTGAAGTGGTGGATATACTGCGTCGCCTTAAGATCAATATAGGTGCCGTTGTGTATTATTTGGAATATCTCGAGGTGCTAGATGCCGTGCTGAAGGAAATAAATTATCGCGATATGTTTGAAGTGTTAGACAGGGACAGAGATGGATTTGTATCGGCTAATGAGATACGTCAATCTTTTCTTGAAGTGGGTGAACCTCGTTTAACTGATAAGAAACTTGCAAGTTTGATGCATTCGCTTGATGTTGACGGTGATGGGCTTGTTAATTACAATGACTTTGCTATGATGATGCGCAAGACTGAAACATTATTGAAGAAATAAAAAAATGTTGTTTATTAATAAGTAAATAAAAATTTAGTTTGGATTTTGTTATTGTTGTTGTTGTGATTTGAGTTAGTGTTATTGCGCATTTTTACTCTTTTGTGGCTAGGGGACTTATCTCTGCCCCACACTAAACTTTAACTAAACTAGAAATGTTATCATTTATTTATCTTCTAACTGATGACGGACCATTGATCAGCATATCTTCCTGTGCGTCCTGAGGAAGATTTAAGGTTTGTTAGGGCGGAGTTGGGCAACGTATCAACTTTTGTGAATAATTTTAGGACTCTGTCGTTGATATATTTTTTCACTGAGTCGATTCTTAGATCTTTATGCATGTCTGTTGTTCTCATATACCAAGGATTTTGTTTTAATATTGTTATGCACTTGAAGTGGAAAATTAGGTATTTCAGATTTGTCTGTAACAGAAGTTTTACTTGAAATCAATTATTATTAGCAATGTCCTAAAACTAACTACCAAGTAAAAGAAGTATGTAATTTATTTGTGTATTTTTTTAATTTTAGTTTATTTCTATTGTTTTCTAACACCTCTCATAAGCTAATATTTTACAGACAATTATATTTTGATTGAAATTTCTTCCGTTTTTATTCGCAAATCATCAGGCAAATGAATTGAGTTGAAATCTTCTTTAAACTTTCTTCAATAATGAATATAAATAATAATCCGAACTTTAGAATTTCCTTTTAGTTATGCAAAATGTTAACAATTGCAACAAAATATTTTGCTATTATTATTTGTGTATTATTAAAGGCAATATTTGCTATAAACAGAAATAATTCATTTGTATAAATCAAATAAAATGAAATTGACTGTTTAAAGGGATTACAATTTGCTTCATTTCGACAATAACTTTTGATAAACTTTACTCTTTACTCTTTACTCCTTACTGTTCTATTTATCGCAAGTCGGGGCAAATAATTTGAGTTCCACAATGCCAAGCCATTGTTTCCGCATTGAATTCATTGGCGAATTTCGCTGTAATTAAGTGTAAATTTACCCAAAATTGTGCATAACTACGAATACAAATAGTTTCGACTGTAAATTTTATAACAATTCAACAAAGTACACAAACAGACGTACAAGCGAACACTCAAAGACACGCACTTCTGACATGGCATACCAAGCCGCGGGCATATTCAATATTTACACAAAATCTATAATGAATTTTGAGTATTTTTCCAGCCGCAAAATATTTATAAAAGCGGCTTCTATCAAAATAATTTTTTTTTTGTTTGGATTGTAGCGCACATTTTGCTACTTAAATGCGTGCATAAGTCATAAAATTGTACCAATTATATTTTGTTGTTGTAATGGTTGTTACTGTTGTTGTTGTTGTTGTTGTTGTTGTTGTTGTTACTGTTTCTTGCCTTGTCGTTGTTATGAAATATTTGTAACTTTTTTTGTGATGTTGGAATATTTTGATTATTATTTTTGGTACTGTTTTTTTCTTCTTTTTTTTTGTTTGTTTGTTTGTTTGTTTATAAGTGTATATATGGTATGTGTGTGCTTTCCTAATACTTGTTTATGTTATTTAATTTTTATATGTTATGTATTTTTGTGGGTGTTTTTACTCAAAATGCGTATAAATTAATGATTTCTTGTTCGGTTCATGCATATAAATTCATCCTTTGTTCTCATTATTTCTCTGACATCCTTGAATGTTAATAGAGCGTATAAAAACGCGTGAATGTTCCCATTGGCAGACAACCCGAAAAGTTTTTATAGATACGTCACACGTTTGCTTTTGCGTTTGCGTTTGCGTTTGCATAAAAACATAAAAACACTAGCAACATAACATTTGGTTAACACGCAGAAGTCTCATTCCCAAACGAAAGCCATACACACACAAACACTCACACACGCATACATACACACACATACAAAACCATGCAAGAACAATAACAGAACTAACAACAAGCAAACAAATACATCATCATCAACAAAGCAAGCAGACCAACACAGCCACGCACACACAAAATTGTTATTTTTCTGCGTCAATATTTGAGTGAGTGTATAACGTAAATTGTAATTTAATAATGAAACCACTTTGTTGTTGTTGTTGTTATTGTTTTTGTTATCGTCTGCATTGTTTTTTGCTAATGTTATTGTTGTTGTTACTTCAGTCGCCATTTATAATGAAGTTAAATATCGATTAAGTGTAGCAATTCATTATAAACAAATGTTGTTTGTTTCAAGAATTATTTATTTATTTATTAGATTTGACTTGCATATCCTTTCCGATTCCCCCTTCCCCTCTTTTCGCCCCCTTTCTTAATTTATTAAATTTACAAGAGAAACTCAACCGAACACAATTTCAACTGCTTTTCACACTTGCTTTGAGCGACGGGGCGTATGAGTAATTTATGTGTGTAAATATGCTGCAGGAGCAAAAATCATCCTAGAAAGGTAAGTATAAGGATGGATTATTCGAAAAGTGATTTACTTTTTCTTTTGTTTTCACTTTTAATAAAAATTATAGGTATTTCTTAAATAATACAATATTCAGTTCTGTCTGCACATAATGGTCCTCCTCGGGGATTGTCAGCTTGGCGTGGTAAGGAGGATCAGTAGTTCAGTACCAAGAATCTTCGAACGCAGCCGGCGGTAGCATGCTACTGGTAGAGCCTCCCATGCCGGTAAGGTCGAATGAGGAGTAATGAAGCTAAGCACAGTTTACAACGTATCGTCGGTACTTATATTGAGCGACTGCAAAAGGCGTCTGTTCTCCAGGTTAGGTGCGGCCTATTTAAGAGTGACTTGTCACTACATGCATAGCTTACAGGACTAACATTGTATTTGTTGATGATCAACAGTAAAACTATATCCTAAAAATGTTCATTAAGAGAATAAGATCAAGCAATGGAGAAACCGAGATTAAAGAAAGTGATCTTTTATGTTTAATGAGTTTGTGAAAATATAATTTATTACTGTTTGTCTTTTTATTAGTGTATGTCTATATAACAATCAATCGAACAATCAGTTAAAAATTAAAAAGTGACAAAAAATTTGGAACTTGAGCATGGAAAGTTTGTACAGCCTAAACTATTTTTTTTTAAAATACAATTAGTCATAGCTTCTAATTTTAATAAAACTAGTAATAAGTACTTTCAATAAGTTAACCAAAATTTGTGTTGTTGTCTTTTCATTTCTATTCGAACCCTTCTAACTTTTAATTAGTTCTTTTTCTACTAAAGACGCGTCACTTTCGATAAAAAAAAATTAACATTAATTAATTTGTAAACAGGTTTTTTCGAACAGTAGTGAACTATAACAACAAAAATTTTATTTTTTATATTATTTTAATTAATTGAATTTTTGGCGGTTTCAAGTATTGCCAAATACCCATTATTGATTATGTGTAAAATTTTAAGTTCTAAAAAATAAAAAATTTTATAAGTGCATTGTTTTGTGAACTTTTTCACTACTATAAGTCTGTCAGTCTGATAGAGACGAAAAGTTAAGTCAGTCATAAATTAAAGGCTTACAAAAAACAAAAAATTATTTATCGTACTCAATCCATATCTGAAGAAGAAGAAATTACATCTGATAAGCGTGCTAGTTATTTTGGTAGCTACTTGCTTACTGAATAGGCCATTTTTAGAACCCAAATTTCTAAATATTTTCTATGGAGATATTAGGTAATTTAAAAATATCCGTGGATATTGATTATTTAAAGTGTTTTGGTATTTCCAAAAAAGTTCCGTGACAAACGATATTATTTTAGAAACTTTATTTATTTTTTTTTTTAAATCAACACTATACCACAAGATGCATAGATGTGAAGTATGTAAACTAATCGACTCTTGACCTGGCTGCTAGAGATTTGATTTCTGTTCGGGTAACGTAATCAGTGATCATAAAACTGTATCTATAAAAACATAATTTATGAAGTGTTCGTTAATATAAAAGTTCTTTTAAAGAAACTTCTTATTTTTGAAGTACATTACACATTGCCAACAAAAATTAAACTAAAATTGCAGGTTCAGATATAAAAAATTTAATATATTCTTTAATACATTAATGATGTACTACTGCTTTATAAGCTTAGTGCTAAGCAGATGCTTCTTTTATATTAATAGTACTCTTTATTTCGAATAAAGTTTAATAATAAACATAAAAGGTTTGATTTTTATAAATATTATGTATGATATCTCTCAATATTAGCAATAACGAAAACCTTTTTAATGATATTCAACAGCACAAAAAATGTGATTGCATTTTTTTAATTTAGAGCATATATCATTTCATGCACGGATTGTAGTTATATTAAAACTAGTCACTTAGTTCAACCTTTAATTTTATATGTTTACGACATTAGTACTGGTAACGTTAAAATTTGACCTTCTAAATTTGATATTTACTAACATATTTAAATATTTTCTATTTATAAATGATCTATTACCAAAAGTTGCACTGAGATTTAAAAATTCGTACTCTACTTCTGGAATTGGATAGTTAAAGGTAATACTGAATCAGAGCAGTAGAAAATTGTTTCACATAAAAAAGTTCTATAACACGGATCCTTGAGTTTATAATGATTAAATCAACATTAATTTATCAAATCAACTGGAAGTTGTTGCATTCAAAGAAATTTTCATCACAATTTCCTTGTAGAACAAAGAGCGAAATTTGATAAACACTTTCAACTATAGAAAAGAGGATAAAAATCTAATTTAATATGGCTGCGTGGCAGAGTATTTCCTAAGAGTCCTTAAGTAAATCTGAAGAAGAACATAAAAAGTGATACAAAATACTTATAAATACAACAATAATTGTATATTCACCTTCTTTCAGTCCTTTTCTTGACAGAGCGTAGTATCGTCGCTGCATAGGATAATGTAATAAGGAAGAAAATTGTTGGATTAATTTAAACCTTTCAATTATATTGATGCAATTTACTTATTAGACACTAATAAAAGTAATAGTAGTAGTTTTTTATTCAGTTTTTTATACTTATTAAATCATATTTTGAAGGTTA